TATATATATACATTGGTCGTTGTATGATGGGATAGTTCATATCATGTTAGGTGAAATTATGACCTCACCATTTTTTCATTTGAAAATTAAGCATGACATAGAGAGATGCTATTGGGTGTCAAGTTGACAAGGGATGAACTTGTGATGGCTAATCCTGGATGTCAACTTGACTGGATCTGGGATTAAATGAAACGGGAGAGATCTTCTTAAGGATCATCTGAAGCTGGAAGACACGCTCTAAATGTGGGTGTTACCTTCTGATGGTAGCCTGTATAAAAGTCCATGGCAGAGAAGAATGCCTGGCTTTTTAGCTGCCTGCCTTTTCTCTCACTGGTGAGTTCATCTTGCTGCTGTAGACTGAAGACTAGCTGATCTTTTGGAATTTATCAGACCTTCAGCACCAGATTGGGACTGCTGAGACATCCAGCCTTGTGGACTGAGCGACTACAGATTCTCAGCCTCTCCAGTGTGGTGCAGCCATTGTTGGATTACTCGGACTCTATTCTGTGAGCTAAGCTGATAAATCTCTGTACATATATATTCATTCTATCAGTCTGTTTCTTTGGAGAACCCTGACTAATAAATCTTCCAAAGCTGGACTAGTTGGCTGGGAATATGGCTGAATATTCAGGTGAGGGTCCAGTGACCCTGCTTGGCTCCCTTAATGAATGAGCACAACCGTCAATAAGCCCAATTGTGACTATATTTAGTGATCAGGCTCAGCCTAAGTTGTGATGATGGTAATTATTACATGCAGAAGGGACTGCTGTATATCATCATCTTATTAAAAGGACCTGGAATTTAAAAGGATTTGGTGCTAGGAGCCACATATGAGGGAGAACATACATTTTGTTTATTTTTCTGAGTCTGTGTTACTTCACTTAGTATAACAGTTTCTAAATCCATCCATTTAAACATGGTACCTATTAAAAATATAAATTAACTTTAAGGAATGATTTGTCCTGCTCCAGCCACCTCCAGCCACCATGCCTCCCTTCCATGATGGACTGTAATTCCCCTGGAACCATAAGCTCCAATAAACTCTTCCTTGTATAAATTGTTTGGGTCAGTGTTTCAATCACAGCAACAGAAAAGTAACTAATACAGGCTGAAATCATGTGAGCCTGCACACAGTGCAAGTAAGTGCCAGCCCATTCTGCATTATCTACGGGTACTGCACTGGTTGTCATGATACTGTTTCCTCCTGTAACAAGATCCCCCTTCAGACTCCTCCTCAGCACAGTGTTTTCAGCACAATTCTGTCAAATAACCAGGACAGGCAGGGTACTGCTCTCAGCAGAATGACAACTCATTGGAAAGTCTTCTTTTACTCTCCCTTTTCTGTTGGGATTTACTGTTAGTAACCTGTTTTTGTAGGTTTAGTGGCAAAAAATAAATCCTTTCAATATCCTAGCTTCACTCTTCTCAAAGTTCTGCTACCTAAGGTCAACTCTGTTATTCAGTTCACTGTCTCAAAGACCTGACACATTGCAATCCAGTGACTTGAAGGGGAAAAGGCAATCTCATGGGTTCCTCCAAGCAGAGAACCTTGCCATGAAATCCTGCAACTTGACCTAAATTTAACAAATGCCTAATTTTCCAGTGAAAACACACCATTTTCTTGTTTTTATTTTTCTCTTTGTCTTAAAACTTAAGAACAATGACTGTCAGGGATGGAGAGATGGCTCAGCAGTTAAGAGTACTGACTGCTCTTGCAGAGGACCCAGGTATGATTCCCAGCACCCACAGGGTAGCTAACAACTGTTAATAACTCCAATTCTGGGAAATCTGATGCCCTCTTCTGACCTCCCTGGGCACAACACAGGTGCACATACATGCATGCAGGCAATGCACACATACACATAAAATAAAAATGAACAAATAATTAAAAAGAAGAATGACAGTGGAACCCAGGGGTGAAAGGTCACAATCCATCCCTCTGCACTCCCTTGTTTGCTCTTTGGGCATTGTACCAGGGATTCCCTTTGCTCAGTAGGCTACTGCCTATTTCTACAGATGAGTTGCTTCTGTTTAAAGCCTCTACATCCTCAGGTCCTTTCTTATTACCTAAAGTAGCCTTCACCATCAACTCATTAGGAAGCTCATCATCTTCACCTTTATGGTGGTCATTCATTGGAAATACACTGTCATGTCTATTGTCTGTCCTTTCTCATTAAAACATAAGTTTTAGGAGGTCTAGACTTTAGCAGTCTTATTCTTTACTAGATTTTCTTACTGTTAGGCACTCCTAACACGTAACAAGGTGGTCAGTGATACATGTGAAGAAATTAATTTTGATGAGAAATGTTTTAAAGAATACAAATTAATGGGGCTGGGAAGATAGCTCAGTGGTTAAGAGTATTGGCTGCTCTTGCAGAAGACCCGGGTTTAAATCCCAGCACCCACATGGTGGCTAACAACCATCCATAACTCCAGTTCCAAGGGATCTGATGCCCTCTTCTGTCCTTTATGGGCACTGCACAACATGGTTGCACTTATACACATGCAGGCATAACACTTATACATATAAAAATAAAAATAAATAAATCAAAAAAAATTTAAGAATGCAAATTAATAAGTAATAAGTAAATTTAATCTATTAATTTAATTTTATAAAAGATTTTTTTTTTACTATTTTGGTAATGAGGTTCTATTCCTATCTCTATAATAGAAAATACATAGTAGTTCATTTGGAGAAAGAATGTGATGGTTAGAACTATGAGTCTGGCTTTGAAGAACACTTTTGTCCTTTACTAGCACTGAGCACTCTATTTCTCAGGCTCCTTATACACAAATGACCATCAAGAAGACAAGAAGACTGAATGAAAGTAAATAAACAAATATGAGGTTCTATTCCTATCTCTATAATAGAAAATACATAGTAGTTCATTTGGAGAAAGAATGTGATGGTTAGAACTATGAGTCTGGCTTTGAAGAACACTTTTGTCCTTTACTAGCACTGAGCACTCTATTTCTCAGGCTCCTTATACACAAATGACCATCAAGAAGACAAGAAGACTGAATGAAAGTAAATAAACAAATATAGTTCAAATATTTTGTGTTTTCTTAGGTAAACTGGTCTGAATTATTTATATTCTGCAAAAATACTATGAACACATTTAGTGTGTATATTCACATAAGTTTTTATATTTCTCCAGCTGTTGGGGTGGATGGGCTAGATCTTACCTGATAGAATCATTATACAGGTGAAACATGCAACACTTGAACTGGAGCTCGGTGTGTGAAATGTTTCATAACTACAGCTTCTCTTGCCAGGTGTGAGATCTCAAATGACAGTATTCATTTCTTCTTTCTTCTCTGTTAACAGACTGTGATCTTCATTCGTGACAAAAATTCTCATGGGCAAGAAGTGTCAGGATATATCGACTATGCCCACAGACTAAAGACTGAAGATTTTGAAGTCTATTTTACTGGGAAAAGGAAACTTCTTCCAAGGACCACAGATATGAGGTAAATTGTATGCCATTCTTGCACCTCAGGGACTGGGATATAGAAATTTTATTTTATGTTGTGTTTTGTGCCCAGAATGATAACATGCACTGTGTAGGAAGTGACAGACTAGCTCTGGGAAAATGTCAACGTCACGAATCTTCCAGGAATCACAAATCAGAGCACAGTGAGATATGGCCTCACTGCAGAACAAATGGTTATCATAAACAAGTTAGATGGATGCAAAAAGATCTTATGTGCTTTTGCACAGTAAGATGGCTGTAGATAACAGTGCTGTGGTGCAGCTTTCAAAAAGCTAGAAGAAAGTGTCCTGGAAGTTACCACCATAGAGTAAGGATAGATGTTCAGGAAGGTACATATGGTTAACCTGATATCATCGTTTTGCAATGTATACATGCATTTATCACATGCCGCCCCCGCATAAGAACAGTTTAATGATATATAACATTCAAAAGCACACTTAATTTTTTTAAAAGATTTAATTGAAAGGAAAATTTAGATGGTGTCTCAGATCTTTTCTCCATTAACCTTTATGTTTCATTGTTTATTAAAAACACTAGACACTACCCCAGATCTTTGATAATGCTGAAAAATCATCATGATCTTCTCATACTTAATTAAATATTTCTTTAATGTCCTCTAAAACCTAATCAATACCTATTTTTACTTTGTTGATTGCCTCAGATTCTTACATTTGGTTTCACTGGTCAAAATGGCCAAGTAGAATAGTGTTTGCTACTCTATACAGAGCACATATTTTATTAGTATGTCTATTATACCATATATAACATATAGCATTATAACAGCCCCTCATCCTCATGTCTTCAATGCTTCTGAGTGTTGGTGAAAATTTGTCTCCTTTTCTCACTTTCGCTGATCACTCTCCTATTTCCTCTAAAATAACTTGATTGAATCGAATTTCATTTTTTTTCTTCTAAGTCAGAACTTAACTTGTACTTTCTATTGTCTGATTTTAGATATTTTGATATTGTTCAGTGAGTTTAGGTGCCATCAGGCTAATAATTCCATGGCATGTTCCTCCATCAAGTTTTACCCAAGGATTTTAATGTCCATTAATGAAGACTATCTAAATATTAAGGGTTACTAAATAATGAGCCAGGGAAATGGCACAGTCAGTATAAGTCTTGACACACAAGCATGAGGATCTGAGTTTAGAACCCCAGCACCCATGTAAATTCCAGCCGCAGTAGCAATTCCAGTACTGGGGAGGGAGAGAATACCTGGAGCCTGCTAGCCAGACTGTCTAGACAGGTTCTATGAGAGAGCATGTCTCAAAAAATGAGATGAAAAGTGGTGGAGGAAGACATCTGGCCTACATACACACTCAAGCACATGTGCACATACACCCCTTATGCACAAACATGCACACAAATAAATACACACAGAGAGAAATACACACACACAAAATACCAGGAAGACTATTTCAGGAACATGCTCAGGACCTGTCCTGAATAATGGTATTTTTCTAATTCTATCATTCATTTTTCATTTGTGGCTATAATTTTTTTATTACTTCCTTGATCATCCTGAAATATAATTGATGTGAGACAAAATAAATAGTTGATTGTTTTCCTTAATTTATGAAAATATAAAACTAGGCTCACAGAACATATACAGCTAATACCCAATTGCTTCTCAAAGTGTGTATACATTCTTGTATTCAAAAGTTCTACATAAATGACAGGGTTCACTTTTGTTTTCACCAAGGGCTGATATCAACCATCTTGGCTTTTCCCACTGTGGAGAGTTATAAATTTTTGCTTATTGTGATTTTAATTTTCATTTCCATGGTTGGCTGCTCAGAGTTTCTTCTTGTTAAATGTATATTAAGGCCTTTACCAATTTCTCAGTGGGTCACTCCTTTTTCTTCTAGATTTCAGGAATTTCTCTTATTTGTTTCAGATACTGATTCATTCTTCATCCCTTATTTATATTGAAAAGCATCATCTTTTTACATTAATTTATTTTTATGTAAGATGTGACTTACTTCATAGTTACTTATTAAATTTTCTTTTTTTAATTAAATTTATTTAAATTTTATTTTTCGTTGAATTTTTACAACTTTTATTGTATCTGGTTCCCCCTCCCCTATTTGCACCCTCCCTACTGCCTCCCACTCAGTTTAATGTACTGTATATACATATATGTGTAGGTGGCGCACTGGTGATTTCTAGGGCAATATATATATATATATATATATATATATATATATATATATATATATAATGTGGACTAGAGCCTGACTTGTGTAGCCAAATGTCCTTCAGTATGAGTCCATCCACTGGGCCCATGCAAAATTTATCATTTTCATTTCCTCTTGTGGTTATTCAAAAATCAGAAATTTAGTAGCAGGATAATATATTTTAATTAATATTTTCTTCTATAGTTTGAATTATGTGTCTGTGTGTACAGCATATGTGTGTAGGTGAGTGTAGAGGCTAGAAGATTTCCTGGTACTGAAGTTACAGATGCTTGCAAGCTTCCTGGTCTGGGTGCTAGAAACAGAATTTGGGTCTTCTTCAAGAATAGCAAGCACTGTTAACCACCAAGCTATCTCTCCAGCCCCCAAAACAATCATTTTGAAAGTAAGGATTTCAAAAAGCCACTTTCTATTCTTTCCCATTTTGAGGTGCTACTTTATGCTATATAGGGAGAGATATTTCAATGATTAGAATCCTGACTTTCACTTTTAATGTGGAAAGTATGCCAACAGACAGCTAAAACTACTTTGATGTGCAGCATAGAAAGGACCCTAAGAACTTGATCTTTTTTCCACTCTAGAGTCACCCTTGAGAATGCCTTAAAGATTCAACACTTTTTCAATACACTTGGGAGCAACTTATAAAGATATCATTATGCAATTTACCACATTCATTTACACTTTCCTACAACATCCTGATAGAAATTAAAGTATTTCTCTATCTGAAAAAATATACACTTAAAAGTAAATCAGTTTATTTGGAAATAGACTCACATCTAAGAATTTGGAGCTGGGGGCCACAAATGAGAACATGCCTTAATTGTTTTTCTGAGTCTTCATTACCTCATTTACTATAACAGTTTCTAGTTCCATCCATTTACGTGCAAATTTCATGATTTTGATTATTTTTTCTTTACTGCTGAATAAAACTCTATTATATAAATCTACCATATTTTCATTATCTATTCATCAGTTGAGGGACATTTAGGGACATTTGCTTCCAGTCCCCAACTACTGTTAAAAAAGCAGCAATAAACATGGCTGAGCAAGTATGTCTGTGGTAGGAGTCTTCTGGGTGTTTCTCCAAGGATTAGCTCCCTGAGAGGTTATCCAATCCCAAGCAGGTAGCCCTAAGCACAGATACACATGAACGGCAAGAAATGGATTCAGGTGTGACTCATGATTACTAATCCCGTTGACATCTTTATTGGCTGCTCAGAGTTCCTCTCTGTTAAGTGTCCACTAAGACCTTTCTTCCACCTAATAAATGGGTTATTGAGAAAGCTACATTGATACCTCCTTGATACTGTAAGAGACAAGAATTTTGGCTCTTTCCCAAATGCTGAGGCAGAATTAGCACAAATTTTCCATATGCATATTTGTCTTAGTCTGGCTCTGCAGATACAAAAAGTAGAAGTCTGGAGGCTGGAAAGAGCAAGACCAAAGCCATGACAGGACTGCTCTTCTGTGGATGCCTCTGTGTTCCCAGATGGTGCCTTGTTGCTGCATCTCCAGAAGAGATAAGCCTGTCTTCACATGGAAGAATGGAAGGAAGGACAGAAAAAGGACTGAGATAATTTCTCTTCTCCTTTAAAAGACTGCTAATCTATTCATGAGGGCAAAGCTCTCATGGCTTAATCATCTTACAAAGTTTCAAAAAGAAGTTTGGAAGGGATGCATTCAAAATACCAGGAAGACTATTTCAGGAACATGCTCAGGACCTGTCCTATGAAATAGGGAAGCTACTAACCACATACCATATGACTGTTGGGTCCTTGAAGTGGGACTAATATTGAATTGTAGCATAGAGTAAGTATAAAATATACCCAAATTCATGGCCTGGTATGGTGGCACACATTTTTAACCCAACACTCAGGAGACAGAGGCAGGCAGATCTCTGCGAGTTCCAGGCTTGTCTGGTCTACATATCTAGTTCTGGGCCAGGCAGCAATACATAGCAACAAAGTGAACACCCGTTTCAAGAATACCAAACTTCACACACACACACACACACACACACACACACACACGTGCACATACCCAACTTTGACTATGTGATAAAAACATAAAATGTATTATTAACAAATTCATATTATAGGTTAACCCCCATATCGTGTTAGTCATGTTGGGTGAATAATGAACATTATTAAAATTATTTTCACCTATTTTGCCCTTTTTGAGCATTTTATTTTTTATCATATG